TAATACTAAAACAGCACTGATTTGGACCAATTAAATTTCACTTTGTGCGGGGCTAGAATTTATAGCCTATAGCACTGCTGCGTTGTACCTGGTTTGAGTACAGATTACAAATTAACTGGTTCAATTTTGCATTCATAATTCACAATGACTTCTATTTTCCATTTGACTGCTAATTATGAGTGAGATCAATATTAAAAGGTTAATCTTTAATAGCTAAACTGACCAATTTAGCAATATCTGGATGTATATCTTAGTAAATGTATCCAAATGAAGGGTACAGCGGGAAAACCACAGTGAGGTCTATACTAGGAAAGGAAACGGGAATGGATAAGGTTTCTTTTGAGAAAAAACTAACTAATAACTCCTTAAATAAGGTTAATGACAAAGAACTTAGCTAGAAATAGTCACAAGATAATGGGGTTTTCGGGTCTACGTGGCACATGTGGCGCCTTCGGCAGAATGAGAGAGTGTATGGGCCCAGAACTGGATCAGATCATTCACACTCATGTCAGGAAATTTAGATCAGTACACATCCTTGCGCTATCACAAACAGAACACACAATTCACAAAGGATCACAGGCATGCTTTTGGTCAGGATTTTAGTAAAAGATCCAGCTATTTAAGGCCCGGCTAATGCGCCGATACCCCGCCTTAGCTAATCTTGAAGGAACATGGAGGAGAAGATAAGGGAAAATGTTCCTTATTGAGGCTGTCCTTATATAATGATCTGATCCATTTAAAGTAATCATTAAAATAGCAATGGTCTCAGATCAAGCTAGTAGGGATGCACTGATATAAACATTTTAGCTGACTTGCCGATTAAATCTATGTTTCGCCTGTTTTTTTTTTCAAATTCAGTCAATTCAATTTACATTTATTTGTATACCACTTTGTACAATACATATTGTTTCAAAGCAGGCTACAGAAAAATGAATGAAGCTATACGTTGGTATTGTAAAATAAACTATTGAGATCATTTTGGTTAATTGAAATTAAACTTTTGAATTAAACTTAAAATATTAGATTAAGAAAATTAAACAAAAATTTGAAATATTACATTGGCAACAAACTGAAATAAAATATGTTTAACAGCTAAAACTACTAAAACTAAAACTGAAAAATAAATAAATAAATAAAAGCGAAATGAAAATATTTCTTAAAAAACAAGTAAAAATAACAAAAGCAAATAATAATATTGCTAAAACTTAAACTAAACTTTGAAACCGAAAATAATTTAATTATTTCATATATTAACTCAACAGTTTATATATGGCTAAATGCTATAATAGTTTAGAATAATACAAACATAACCCTACTCTTCATCAAAAACATTGTAAAATCATGTCCCTTTGAAAATGGTAATTGAAATCTGGTTGAAACCTAGAAATTAAAATGTAAACTTAAATTTAAAAAAATAAAAAATAATAAAAATACTAAATAAAATAAAATAAAATCTGCTTCCGATATTGGCCTAAAAAGACCAACACAACTAAAAATCCTAATATTGGCTGATACTGGTCACCATTATTGTGCATCCCTAGTAGATAAGAACAACACTCAAAGAAACGCATGAGATCTGAATCTATGGATCAGGTTTAAGGTACAGTCTGGTTTTGTTTAAAGATCAGGGACACATTTCACGTCAAGCGTGCGGTACCATGTTCTGCACACGCTTGTGGTGGTGAACATGACAACAAACCTTTGTTCTCCTGGCGTCCAACAGGTGCTGCATGATTGTGGAGTGCAAAAAAACAGAAACAATGAAACAGCAGAGTGAGTGCAGAAGGAGATGGACCAAGCAATGACACACAACAAAAACAAACTGATAGCATTATTCAAAGGATTCAATTACAAAGAATAATGAGGCATTTTACATTCAGTACACTGCATACAAACACATTGCTAATGGAAAAACCATAACAGAATGGAAAATACAATTAAAGACCAGAGGAAGTCATAAAGCAAATGTGAATGATCATTCTGGAAAGATGTCAGTTATTAAACAGGATAAATGCGCTGTGATTTATTTGTGTTGTGGCTTTGTAATGCCTTCCTTTGACCAGCAGAGGGAAGGGAAGTGCTGTTTCAGAGACAGGAGTGAAGTGTGAGCTGGCTTGTGCCAGCCTGTCTTAGTTCCAGATCAACGGGCACTCAGTCTTATGTAAGAAATGCCGTTTTGGGCTGGTACACTTCTGCCATTATACATTCCCTTCACACAGAGACATACACACACTATAAACACAGAGGACTCATGCAAACTGCTAAAACATAATTTTATTGTGTTTGATATTTGATAATGCATACATAGTGCACATAATGCATACCTACATACATATATATGTATGTATATATTCATGTATGTGCATGTGTTTATATATATATATATATATGTGTGTGTGTGTCTGTGTGTGTGTATATACATATATATGCATTCAGACTTTTTGCACAGATGTATTATTTCATGAAAAATAGATAATGTCCAAGACAGATGATACATAACAGATAAATAATGTCCAAGTCACATTTCACCCTAAAATGTCACCCTCAATTCTTTTTTGTTTTGTTCCCAGCACAGAATAAAAAAACGAAAATGTTAATTGCGAACACACACACACACACACACACACACACACACATATCAGTGGTGTGCGGTGGTGTTCTGAAATGAGGAGAAAAAGCCCTAAAAGCTTTTTTTTTTTTTTATCAAATGTAAATTCACGTCCTGGTCACATTTTCTTGGTCACATAAACATTACTTACACTATTAAGGAAAATATATATATATTTTTTTACATTAACAATGTAATCAGTATTCTATTTATTAAAGCCAAGTATGAATCTCATTTAGTTAGTGTTTTTAAGCATTTTACATGTATTCCAATATAATAATTCAAGGCAGTAACAATTTAAACAATATGTTTTATTCGTGAACTTATGTTCAGCTTTTCTTTTTAATAGTTAACATCTAAGTATTTTTTTAATTTCTTGGATCATCAGTCATCAAAGCTTGGTAAATATTGGTCACAAATTCAGAGATTTACTTTAAATTTCACCAAGCTAATTGCTCACTAAAAACTCCCACAGATCACGTTTTCATGCTATTTTAAGTCTTATTTCGATGTAACAAAGTGGTTAAATCTAAGTGTGATACTTTTTAATTAGTCTTCCCATTAATGCCATTATTGATCTAGGTGTCAAATATGACCTGGGTGTGGTCTTGGCAGGTTTTGTGAGATTCACTCATCCTTATAAATGTAACTACAGTACCAATATTCTTTATGACTGCCGCCTGCGCTCATTGCCTCTTAAAGAATCGAATGCAGCTGTAGGGAATCGTGTGCGTTTACCGCAGGCACATTAGCAAATTAATTCAGACTCCTTAAACAGACACACACACACGACTGCAAGCAAACACACATAAAATCAAACACGTGCACTTATCCCAGATAAATGCTACGGATGCTCGTGTAGATATGCACGGCACACTCGAAAACAGAGGAGATGAGACTTTGGCTAATTAAATTTGTCAACCAAATAAACTCTCTATTTCTACAGCTCTATTTCTGTTGTTTTCACTCTTCCCAGCATAGATCGTGTTTCCTTCAGCACAGGAAGTTTACTGAGGACACAGGACATTTGTCTCTCTTTCTCTTCTGTCTATCCATCTCCTTCCCAATTCCTTATCCTCTCCTTCTCTTTCCGTCTCCGACCAATAATCTGTCTTGGCTGGCATAGAATTCAAGGAAACGGTCCAATGATTCCATTTGCATAATTACAACAGTTTGCAAAGAGCCACAATCTCCTGGGTTGCAAAACGGCGGCTAGAATAAACTCCATTCCTTACGACCGGAGATATATGGGGTTGTTGTTCAAGTGCATTTAAAGGGACCACTCACCTCACATTCACTAACCTTCATGTCACCCTTGGAACAATAATATAATTTTCATTCTTGGGTGAACTGTCCCTTTAAGAGCATGAGGTTTGAGTAGAGTTAGCTGAGTCATTCAGAAGTGTTCAACTTTCATGTTGTGTGTGTGTGAGGAGCTCTCAGACGCACTGAAGCATAGACAGCCATGAATATGTATCCCATACGGTAGCGCGTGATAAGAGGGGGGGGTTGCATCGCGCGGAGGAGAGCTGGCAGCAGGAAAATTCCAAAGCATCCATGAGGAAGCCCGCATCCCTTCCTCTCCCGCTCATTACTCATTGCCCCCCATTATTATCACAAATGTTTCAGCTTCATGCATCCAAGAGAGACACAATTTTTCAGTCAATTTGTCATTCTGTGAAATTTAATTTCTCTGCATATTGACTCTTTATGCTGTGTTTAAAACATCTAAAAGAGAAAAAAATATACATAATATACATATAATATACAGTCATTCAAAAGTGTTTTTGAAAGAAATGAATGCTTTTATTCATGCAAAATTGTTACTTTTATTTATGCGATTAAGTAAAGACATTTCTAATGTTACAAAAGATTTCAATTTTCACTAAATGCTGTTCTTTTGATTTTTCTATGCATCAAAGGATCCTAAAAAAACTGTATCATAATTTCTACAAAAATATTAAGCAGTTTTAACATTAATAATAATGATAAATGTTTCTCAAAAACAGAAAATTAGAATGATTTCTGAAAGATCATGTGACACTGAAGACTGGAGTAATGATGCTGAAAATTCAGCTTTGCATCACAGAAATAAATTACACTTTAAAATATATTCTAAAAGAAAACAGTTATTTTTATTTGTAATAGTATTTCACAATATTACTGTATTTTTGGTCAAATAAATGCAGCCTTGGTGAGCATAAAATACTCAAAAATGTAAAAAATCTTACCGATCCCAAACTTCTAAACAGTAATGTAAATAAAAATATAATAAAAGGACCACTTTACCTTAGTATTATTTAGTAGTACCAGAGTTAGTAGTAAACAAGAAATGTGAAGAAATAACATCCAAATGAATAGACATCTAAAGAACATTAATTGGATTAGGCTGGCTAGCTATACTGAGCTAATTTTGCATTTTTCTGAATTAAACACTACAGGCCTCATTCATAAAACACAAGCAGAACAAATGCATGTCTTAAGTAATCCACAAAACCATTGTATTGAACTCAATCTGGCAATTTACATAAGAAGGCTTTATGTACAAATGGTTTTATGATTTACAAATAAATGTATTGCACTAGTGTTTGTGGCACAATGTTTGTTGATCTTCATATTATGAACTGTAATGAGTTCTTGGTCTCGAGAAGTGAACAATCAAGCTAAATGTCCAAATCTTTGCTTGCTAGTCAGAGCAAATTTTAGAAACACAGATCCTAATACAACAGCTGACATACACCAATAGTCCGTATGTATACGCACACACACCTTCACATCCACCCTCATGACAGATGCTTCATCTTTCTGCGCAACATCCATCAGCTCAGTCCAAACGTGGAAATATTTGGCTCTGGCTGTCAACCACCACAGTAAATGTTACTGCATCTCTAACCGAATGATTACATTGAAAGCCAAAACAACAGCTGGGATATAAATAATAGTATTAAAGCAATCAAATTTCTAGCACTTCTTTTTTATTCACAAATCTACCTGCATTGTTAGTCAAGATGTTATAAATCAGAAGTTGTACATCACTATTTTCCAATCTCCCTGAATGAAATTACACATTCAGACATGTGTTACACATTTTTGTGCTACTGTACCTTTAATCCCAGTTATGATTAGCTAGCCAGCATACTTCATTCAACATGATGGATCATGAGCTTAATATGTAAATGTACATGGTCATATGGTCCAGAGCAAATTTTAGAAACACAGATCCTAATACAACAGCTGACATACACCAATAGTCCGTATGTCTGCGCACACACACCTTCACATCCACCCTCATGACAGATGCTTCATCTTTCTGCGCAACATCCATCAGCTCAGTCCAAACGTGGAAATATTTGGCTCTGGCTGTCAACCACCACAGTAAATGTTACTGCATCTCTAACCGAATGATTACATTGAAAGCCAAAACAACAGCTGGGATATAAATAATAGTATTAAAGCAATCAAATTTCTAGCACTTCTTTTTTATTCACAAATCTACCTGCATTGTTAGTCAAGATGTTATAAATCAGAAGTTGTACATCACTATTTTCCAATCTCCCTGAATGAAATTACACATTCAGACATGTGTTACACATTTTTGTGCTACTGTACCTTTAATCCCAGTTATGATTAGCTAGCCAGCATACTTCATTCAACATGATGGATCATGAGCTTAATATGTAAATGTACATGGTCATATGGTAAGCTGTTCATGCTGTGACAGGACTATAGTGACAATAACTAATTTTGAGGGGGAAATGCATGAAATCATTTACAATAAGACTGGTGATGCATATTATGACAGTAAAAGTATTTATTTTGAGTCATGCTCACTTGAAACTAAATGTAAATCATCCAGAGGGACAGGATAAATTAAAGCAATAAGCCCCAAGAAGCCGTGATTTACAGTGCATTTATAACAGCTAAGGGGCGTTAACCCCCTTAGCTGTTATAAATTCACTGTAAACCACGGCTTCACGGGGCTTATTGCTTTTATAAAACGGTTATTCCATATATGTAGTAAGGTTTCACAAAATAAAAATGTAAACAATGTAGTTCCTCAGAAATGATCATGGTTCCAACAAAGTGGTTGCCGAGCAACAAACAAATGTAAACAAAGG